GGAAGCGTGGGATGCGTGCGAGGTGTGGGAGAGTGTCGAGTTCGCTCTCATGAGGCGCGGTTGGCAGTCATCGTAGACATCCTCCAGCTCCACCTGACGGACGATACTTCCACCGAGGCCGGCAGACTTGTAGTGGTTCATGTTCATCGGGGTCTCGAGGTCCATGGCGTGGAGATCGCGCATCTTGGGCGGAGGTGCACGGAGGGGAGGGCCTCCGCGTATTGTCGCGTAGGCGTCAATCCTCGACTCGGGTCTCTGTATCCTCTCGGGCGAGTTGTTGCCATACTTGAGATTCGTAAGAGGGGGGCGGGCAATCCTTGAGGGGCTTCCTGGAGGCTTGGTGAGAGTGCCATGGTTACTGCGGAAGCCCATTGAGGATTCCGGCCGAGGGCTGCCAGGCGGCTTGATGTGAGCGGACAAGGGCCTTGCCGCGGATGCGCCATTCATGTTGTTGGCACTGCGCTTGTTTGTCGGGGCAGCAGCGACGGGTGTCTTTGCTCCCTGGCGGGTTGGTGGTCTCTGTGCTGCGCTGACGCTATTCGCGCGGCTGTGGCCATTTCTGGGCTTGGTTGCCGACGCCATCTGTCCGGCGCCGGGTGTCTTGGATCGCGGTCCAGGGGCAGGACGATCCTCCGCCTCGAGAGCGTCGAGGTATCTCTCACCGTGAACAAGGAACGGACGGCCGTACTCGTCCTCGAAGCGCTCCAAGACTTGACGAAGCTCAGCAGCAACCTTGGGCAACTCCTTGGCAATACGCTTGCGCATCTTCTCCTCTCGGAGCAGCTTGCCAGGATCGCGTCTCTCTCCCTTCTGCCCGCGCATCATGAGGCGAGAGGCATCCTGGCTGGAGGCCGCAAGCTCGTCACGCTCGTTGGTAAGGCTCTTGTGCCTGTCGATGAGTGCGAGCGTGGGGGCGCGCTGCTCCTTGAGTACCTCCAGTCTCGCAATTTCACGCTCGTGGGCTTCGAGCAGGGCGTCGCTGTATACGTCGGAAAAGGCAGGCGTGAACTCGAGCATTTCGTCCTCGGAGAGGTAGAGAGCGTCCCATAGCTCCTGCAGCTTGCAGCGGGCGTCTTCGACAAACAGGTGCAGGTTCTGACGCTTCAGCTCATTCAGACGCGCCAGCTCATCCTCGAATTCGTTGATCTGGCGGACGCCGCAGCCGCGGTTGCTGTTCAGGAAGCTCTTCCTCTCGGCGTGGTCCACCTCCAGCTTCTCCCACAGGGCCTCGACCGCAGCGCGCAGGTCCTTGAGCTTCTTCTCGCGGTTCTTCTTCTCGTCTGACAGCTTGTCGCGCTTCGCCTTGAGGCGGGCGATGTCCTCCTCGTGCAAGCCCAGCTGCTCCGGCGCATCGCGGTAGTACTTGACGATGGCGGCGTCCGTCTGTGCCTGCGGGGTGCCGAGCTCGGCCCAGAGAGAGATGATGTGCTCGCAGAGGGCCTTAACCGTTGCGACGCGGCGGCTGTACTCTTCATAGACTCTCGTAAACTCGTTGTCGAGCTTGTCGACGTACGCGGGCGACAGGTCGAAGTTGGACGGGACAGACTGGTTCGGGCCTGTCGGGGGCAGGGGGATCTGGACGAAGGTGGGTTCGAGGTGCGACGAGTATGATTCCAGGGCTTCGACAAGTTCTGGCGGTGTGGTCAGCGGGACTCCTTTTCGTGGCGCGTCGCGGCTGCTGCTGCCGGGCCAACTCACTCTTGACCTGCGCGAAGCGCTCCTTGTGCAACCTGCTAATCTGGACGTGCTTCTCCTTGAGGGACTTTAAGCAGCGGACCAGCGGGTATGTGATCTTGATGTCGTCGCCGTCGCGGTCGCGGCGACCGCTGATCGATGCCTCCATCTGGCGGATGTTGTTGATCATGTGCTCGGCCTCCTCAATCATCTCCTCCTTCTCGGTAGTAACAAGGCGGACCTGGTCGGTCAAGGCCTTGGAAAGGGCCTCGAAGAGCTGTGGCGAAAGTTAGCAGACAGACGGAAAACCAAACAAGAAGGCAAGAGCGTACGTCTGCTTCGCGCGCCTCGCGATCATGGTTGGGGACGCCAATTTCGTCAAACAGGCCGTGCAGCTGGCCGATAATGGTGTTGACCTGCTGGGACAGGTAACTGGTATCCATGGCGGATAAGTGGACGAAGACGCGCAACCAAGGAAAAGGGACAAAAAATGCCGATTGAAGTCGCGGGCAGTAAAATATCGATTAGGTAGGTTCGTGGGGTAGAAAGAGCGGGTGCAGCGCAAACGGCTGGTGGTGGTGGTGGTTGTTGTTGATGATGCTATTCACGCCGCCGCGGGGAATCGTCGGGGATTTTTTTGGTGGGTGTTGGTGTTGGATTTGTTTACTTTCTCTCAAGGGCTAGCGAATGGTCACCGAGTGAGTTGCGACTCAGGGTGCATTGTCCGACCACAAGAAAAAATAAAAGTAAAACAAAGAACCCAAAAGAGCGGCGCTGGAGGGATGGCAATCTGCAGTCTCCGTGGTATCTATCTGTGTTGGGTGAGGCCTGGAGAGAGTCGGGTCGGTTGCCAGAGACTGCGATTAGTTACCTGTCGTGATGCGGCGTTGGGAGGGGGAGAGAGTGAAGGTGAGGGTGAGGGTGAGGAGGTGAAATGAAAGATCGAGAGAGCGATGTGAATGAACGGGAAGGTGGTCGGGAGACGTGATGGGCCAGATTTAGCGGGTGCGCCAGTGGCAGCTCTCGAGGTGGGCCGTCGCCAGGGGCAACAGCCAAACGCTGGGCAGCTTCTGTGAGGAGTGGCCGCTGCTGGTGGTGGGTTTCAGAAAGAGCTACCCCGCCATTGGCCGCCAATTGGTCCGTACACTACGCCCTTAAAACCCCGGTGCTATTGCCGTCCAGTCTTTGTGGACTCAGGTTCCTTGTTGGTGAGCTGTTCTAGCGCCCTGTCGCTTGTCTGTCAGCGCGGGCCAGGGATCTTAGGTAAGACTCCTCCTGCTCCCTGCCTCGCACCTCGTCAATTCTGCCAGGACTCAGTGAACCCAGCCACTCGTCTTTGGTTCTCGAGAAATGAGACTCATGGTCTCCCACATGGCCGCATCTTGGTTCAGCAATGGGGGGCCACGTTACAGTTGGTATTCTATCATTTCTTCATGCAGTTGATGCGGCTCTTGGGTGGTTTTCTGCTCTATTCGATCGTGTGCAGACGATCGCAAACCCTATGCAAACACTTGGACAAACAAGCCAACTCAGTCACCCGCAGTAGTCCAGAATAAAGCCCGAGGCAGAGCGGACCCGCGCATCGGTTTGTTTACATTGGCCCAACCTCGTTGACTGGGCCATCGGCGTCTCCTCCTGCCCTCGTCTCCCTCTGCACAATGGTCCAATGGCTGCGCCGACTCGTCAAAAGCCCGTCTGCAAGTCATTCAGCCGGCCCACGAGACGAGTGGCTCGCATGGCAGGACAGGGCACGGCATGGCACACAGCATGGCATTTGCTGCAACAACACAGCCTTTTAGGATTTAAAAGACCGGGCCCCCAGAGCAGGAATCCGATCTGCCTCATCTCGGCTCTCTCCCATCCCATGTTTCCTCCCCCTGTCCCGCCCCGTTTCCAAGTGGGCGCGTGCTGCCCCAAAGTCCCAGCGGTGAGATGCAGCAGCGCCTCTCTTCACCGTGGTGACGCTCCCGAAACCTTGCTCAAGCTGCATTGTTGTCCGCATTTCTCCATTGGCATTGGCCCGCCTCCTTTCTTCTCCCATCTGCGCGATGTCCCGCATCAGCTTTTCCCTCTGTTTGTTGAGTCATTGTCCCGTGATTCCGAGTTCTGGGCGATTGTTCTCTCGTCATGGAAGCATCAATGGAAGGAAATAGACATACAGACAGAGGCCCCATAACATCTGGCCCATGCTCCTCTTCCCCCCCAGACTCCCGCCGAAAATCTTCGTAACCGACCCCGTCGAAATCCAGTTTGATCTCCGCAGCTTTCCCTCCTTTGCTCGTCCTCGCCCAGCAAAAACCCGGCACGGCTGAGGCCGCACGGCGCTAATAAGCTTCTGGGTCGGAATATTTGATAGAACGGGTGGGTACCAATCGCCGCGGCTGCCAGCCATTAGATTTTTGCCCGAGCTTTTTTTCAGGCGACGTCATCACCATCGGCACAACCTGCCACCAACAATGGTTGCCTGGGAGCCTGCATCGACAAGCGTTGCACCAGGCCAGGCCAAGAAGCTATTCCGCAATCCGCCGGGTGAGATTCCTATCCCTGTCCACACAATCGGCGATGTGGTATTTCAGCCTTCCAGATTTAATCCTCGTTCATGTTGGTTTTGTTGGGTCCTGCGAGCACGTAACCTTCCTGTCGCATCTATCCCACGATGTCACCCTGACCAGGAAGGAAGCATCAGCGTGGAATAAAACCAACCACTTAATATTCCTAAAGCCTGGCGATTTTGGCCTGTCGAAACAGGATTGATTCCATCCTTCAGCGTTCACTTCAATTACGCACTCAGATGCAGCTTCGTCTGATCGTTTTTAGGCTGCTGTTCGTGAAAATCACCTCCTCTCACGGATGATGAAACCTCTCTGCTCACTGGGGCCATAGCTTTCTTCCCGTGATGCAAATCTCCTGACCAACAATTCCCCTCTACATTTGGGTAATTGCGAAGAGACGCAAGCTGCGGCATAGCTGGCTCTTCATGATTCCCTGAATAAGCTCATGAACACAATTTTCACCCAGACTAAGCCGATGAAGATAATGATAATTCATGTATGAAACTGAACAAAGTCGAGCCAGTTTTCCTCGGTGCGCATGAGTGAGAAACGGTCACTTTCGAAGCCATCGATGCAATCGTTCAACTCCTTCGCATGGTGTGGGATACCGATTGGTGTTTGATAGTCGCGAGTCAGATGACCCAAATCAGCATGAGCCTCATTACCATCACACTTGGACCGGACATATAGCCAGATAGGACATACGCTCATTAGCTGACGAAGAACCCCCTTCCCAAACCACTGTCCCGACGCTCCATCTGCTCCTGAACGCCTCTACAAAGTGGCAACAAGCCCAAAGACCCAGTAAGATTCGTGAGAAAGCGCCCCAAGGCGATTAAACCTCTGTAGAACCAGAAACTCCATCCCACCCCCATCGAAAGCATCTGTACCGGTTGTCAGCCTGCTCATCGCGACAAGAGGATGAAAATAAGAGGCACTTACGGTGTCGACTAAACCATCGTCAAGCCGTGAAGAATCGCATTCTTCGCCACGCGACCTCACGCCGCAACCATTCTCACTTTGCTGCACGTCCCGCCCTCGCAAATAACCGGCCTCTCGCCCTTCAAAGTCCCCATCTCCGCATACTCATCCCCCTCCTCCTCCTCATCCCTCCGAACGACAGTGTTGTTCCGCCTGCTCTTCGCCCTCCGCCGGCGAACATACGCAGTCGTCGCGAGCGCGATGACCACGACGCCGACCCCGATGCCGATGCCAGCCTGGGCTCCCGTGCTGAGCCCGGCGGACACTTCCGCCGTGTCCATGATGCGGCGGCAAGCAACCACGGCGGCGGTGCGCGCGACGAACGATCTCTTTTCTCTCTCTCCCTTCACCTGAGGTCGCGATTGAAGCGGAGAGTAGATGGCTCGTTTTCGTTATCTCGTTTCTGTGGTGGAGTTGATTGTGGGGTAAAAGAAGGAGGACAATAGGGAACTGCGCGAACAGAGAGATACGGTCAAAGTGCGTCGTACTTGTCGCCGTATAGAGTTTCCACGAGTGTATCAAGAAATGTGTACGGATTGAGGGAAACTCTGCTGGCGGAGGACGGCGCATCCCTGCACGAAACAAACCATCTTTCTGGTAGACTCTGGCCATTTGTCGTTGGGGGAACAATGGTTTCCCCGCGTTGGCTGGAAGCACCTTCCTGTTCGGGTCGCCATGGATTGCTTGGCTTTTGAGAGGGGTTAAACTCGCCGAGGATTTAAGCTACCTGACAATGATGGAGCCGCATCGCGATATGGACTTTACGAGTCAGCGTAGGTTCGCAATGCGAAATGCGAAAAGATAAAGTGCGAGAATGCTTCGGATATCGCGAGGGCTTTGGTATCGCGAAAAGACCAAGGATAGATTGCTATTATTTTCTATGTAGGCTGCCGCGCGATCAAAGTGCCACCGCTACATGGGCAGCATAAGCAATTCTGGACAACCAATAGGCACGTAGCTTCCCTTCATTCAAGTTAGTTATACACCTTAACACCTTAATGTTCCGGGCGAAATTGTAAATCATGGATGCCTCGGCGCTTAAATTCCACTTTGGTAGTGCCGAGATGGTTAGATTTTCTTTCAAAATATGTTGCTTTAAATCGAAACGAATCATACCAAGGACTTCGTATGTCGGACGTTTCTTCCTGGCACATCTTGCGCTCATCAATCACCGATCCTTGAGTTACTATCGTTCATCAATATCTTGCAAGACCTCAGATAGTGTGGTCCGGCGGGCTTATTTTCGTGCGACCGCTGAGGGTCTCAATGCAGGATCATCCATCTAAGGACTTTCACCTGTTCCAATCCTTTGTCACTCACTAGTAACAAATAATTGCAAGGCTGTCAGATCTGGATTGTGACAATGATTCAATCCACTCGTGCTAGTTGGTCTGGTGGGATTGGCTCAATTGACGAAATGTGGAGGCAATCCATGCAGCCGCTAGGCATCAGTCCAACAACCAACAGATCATCGCACTCGCAGTGCAGGGGTGGATTCTGAAGGATTCCCGCGCCGCAATTGCTTCTCAGGAGACTTTTCCTCTTCATTCATCCAATTGAAAGCTTCGACAATATCGCCTACCTCGGAGGCTTTTGACTATCCAGTCTCGCTCTGCACTCGGGCAAGATGTGGCGTTTCATTGCAGTCGTCGTGTTAGCCGTCAGGGTGGTGCAAGCCCAAAACACCAGCAACGGTACCGCCGAATGCCCAAATGTGCCAGGCTTCTTTTACCAGGACAGCTGTAAACTGCTCTGCCGGGAGACGAAATGGACGGATGTAGTTGTCTTTCATCTTGGCAACTACATCGCCCACGCCGCCACCATTACTACGCGCCCAGGACAGAGCACTTTGATCACTGTAGTGACAATGATAGGTGCTGTTCTGCTTCCCGGCACCGGCATCTGGAACGGTATGAAGGCCATACTCAGTTTTGCTAGGTTTGCTCCTACCGACCTGCAAACAGCAGCCCGTGCCGGCGCCTTATATTGAAACGGGGGGTGGTTGTGTGTAGGAACAAAATGCAGGGCGCGGCAAAAGGACCGCTGCAAGATGTTGATTTCTAAGAAGAACGCTGCTAATCTGCATACGCGCGTGGGCGTTAAATACGTACGCGCACTGCTTACGTACGCGTGGTTTCTAGCTAGGTAGGCGCCCTACCCACTTCAATATGCAGTGGTCAAGGACAACAATTACCACCCATCTCAGGCGTCTGTATCTGATGGAGCAGAGGGCATTCAAATGGCTGCAATGCCGGCTACAGTGGCAACCCGAAGTACCCAGCAAGACCAAAATATAGAGAAGCAACTTTTGGAGGATTCATCAGTACACGGAGATTCGAAAGAGTCGGCACCTTGTAAGCTTCTTCATGCATACTTGATTTCAAAACTAATTCAGAGAATGTGATAACAAGTCTACTGAGCTCCAACATCCACGGATTATGCGAGCTGCCAGAAGGATACCACCTAATGCAAGTTCCGCAGAATGCGACTTTTGTGGGAGATGACGACTTGCCCGTGGACCACCGGCCATGGTACCACTATCGACGTTTGGCGGACACCATCTTCCCCTGGACACAGCCTCAACCCGCCAGGTCGACAGTCGCGCTGTCTTGCAGTTACAATCTGGTCAGGGTACTTGCGTCCATCATACAGCTGGTCTTTGCTGTCTCAACACTATACCGCACGCGTGGCGACCAAATTGAGCGATACGGTTATGCCGCATTCGGCTTGACTGTGATGCCTTACGCATGGATGTCCCTCATCAATCTTCTCGGCAACGCACTATGTCCACAGTATGACAGGATCTACGTTGTCAGCTCCCGAGCACTACGCGATCTACAATTCGCTCGCGAAGAAGAGAGTCAGGATTCGCAGACGCAAGACCGAACCCAGTGGAGAGTCGACGGCGCTGTGGGCCGCCTGGAAGATGATTGTGATGAGCAGTTGTGCAAAGACTTCGAATACTGTCGCGAGCAGGAGGGTGCCGGACAGACGGAACGCTCGCGGCCGGTCCTCTATACAGTCTTTGCAACTTGGAATCGCAAGTCACCGAGTCGCATGAACCTTGGGCCTTTTATCGATCTACTCAATCCGTTTCGTCACTGGAAAGACTGGGTTGAAGATACTCGCAAGCCCAAACGTTGGTGGAAAGACGAAGCCATGCGCATAGTCAAGGACATGCGCAAGGACCCTAAGTCTGGCTTACTGTCTTTCTACCACAGGTGGAAAGAACAGTTGCTGGCGCCTTTGGTCGTCTTTGTAGTTCCGCTGGCAATAGTTGGCGGCCTCTCTGGCTTTGAACCCGGCCAGAGTGAGCCGTTTCAACGAGTATGGGTTACGATGTGGTTGGTTCTGGGCCTAGGAGTTGGATTCGTTCTTGGCCAAGCCTTGAGATGGTTTGGCAACCAGTCGCCCAATGTATATCAGCAACCTACTGCGGACTACGGAGGTCCAATTGGGTTTATGAATCTGTGGGAAACCATTATGGGCGCGGTGGCTTATGGACCAATTGCTATTGGAGGGTATGTAGTAGTTACTCGGATGCTTCTTGAATCTGGAAGCTGTGTAGAAGTCAAACGGTAATGGAGACGGGTTGACCTGCGGGATAAAGACAAGTACAGACTGTGTACGAAATGTGAATCGAAGTTATCTAGTTGGGGGGATTCAGCCATCCACCTTCCAACTTGGCAATGAGAGCAACCAATCAATGCATGCCACTAACGAAAGTGCACATCTGGGGTAGGCCAATCAAATACGGCTACCCCTCTCAGTCGCGGAATGTAGCCGCTGTTTCCATCCCTATCTGCATACATGTAAGACAGCCTCATCGTTCCACTATCGGAGTCTCGGACGCAGCCTGATTTCCTCCACATCAGGCCGAGCAACGCAACACTACGAACTGACCTAGACTTCTGTCGAGATGGCACTCGCTTTGCGGAGAGCGGCTTCGCTGAAGCCAGAAGTCCGATTGGCACAAGCTGTCTCCGAGTTCGAGGCAAGTCTGGATGCAGTACACAAAGCATCGTTCCGCAATGCGCGAATCGCTACGAAAGCCACACCGCCGACTCCGAGCGACGTCATGAGGCTGACGGCCGAGATTGACTACCGAGTGCGACAAGAGCATGGCCCGTCTCGATGTTTTGGTCCCCGTCTTACCAACATACTCCAAGCTGTCCAGCAGTTCGCTGCGTTGGGCGATACCGTAGTCGGCGGATCGCAGAACTTGGTGGCCTGTGGAGTCTGGTCTGCAGTCAGAATGATGCTGCATGTCAGTTACCCATAAATGCTGGACGCTATCAATGCTGATCTCATAGGTATGGTGCAGATGGCGATCGGTTACGCTTCCTACTTGGAGAAGCTGTCGTTGCTCTTCATGACTGCCGGGCGACAGGCTCCGCGATATCACGCCTTGGCAACTATTTATCCCCAGTCTAAGACACTACAACTTTATCTGTCCGAATACTTCATCGTCATCGTTCGCATATGTCAGAGAATACAGCAATACGCAAAGAAGTCTGCTTTTGGTCAGTTTAAGTCTTCGTTGACCGACGCAGATCTAAAGGAAGATCAGGCGGACCTCGAGCTCTGGGGAAACTCAATCAAGGATGAGGCAAGCCTTCTGCTTAATAGAAGAGTTCACGACGAGTCGCAAGAAAACCAGAAGGCTCGCGCGTGGGTGAGCAGATGGTCAGCATCGTCTTCACAACAATACGCTCTTGAGCGTAAGGTGCGATTGCTGGAAGCATGCTCCACGTACGACTTCCAAACCACCTGGAAACAGATTCGAAAGCGAGGCTCGACGTCGCTCTTAGCAACCTGGGCCGGGTATCAACAATGGAAACAGGAGGATACAACGTCGGCCATTTTGTTTAGTGGAAAGGTCGGAGCTGGAAAGTCAGTTACTCTGGCTAATATCGTCGACGACTTATTCCTAGCATGAAACACTACTATTGTGTACTTCTTTTGCCGCCACGATATCCCGGAAAGCCTCAAATCCCGTACCATATTAGGAAGTCTAGCTCGCCAGTACTTATCCTCCCTTCCAGAGAATAGCGACACTTTCAATGAAAACCTTTCCGCTCTGGATCTGGACAAGATCACCGCTCTATTGATATCTAAAGGCGACAACCGAAAGAAGTACCTCTTGATCGATGGTTTGGACGAATGCAGCAAAGAGGAGCGTCATATAACTCTTACCCAAATATCTTGGCTACAGACACATTCTAGTTGGAGGCTCGGATTCTCAGCTCGATTTTCGGCGCAAGACTTTGTTGGACAGCATATTAGTCTAAAGTGGCGTATTTCCATGCCCACGAACAACCCTGACATTGAGCAATATATCACCAGCGAACTGAATGCCCGCCTGGCAAACGGTCAACTGGTTCTCGGAGATCCAAACCTGGTATCCGAAATTCGGGAAGCTCTCCTGGGTGGTGCGAATGGCATGTGAGTTTGACAGCTGTCATGTTCCCTAGGTACCATAGGTATCTGCTTTTCACCGAGCAATACAGAGACAAAAAGTATGAGGAGATCTGGTTTAATGGTAGCTGATAACCATTTCTCGCAGGTTTCTATGGGTTGCTCTTCAGCTTGACCAAATATGCTCGGAGGTGTCGGATCACTCCATACGTCTTACCATCAAATCACTTCACCGGGACCTATCTGAAACGTATGCCCGCATACTGAGAAGCTCTTCGGCTAAAGATTTCCATCGATATCATATTCGACTTTTCAAGTTTCTTGTGGCAGCATATGTGCCATGAACGATTGACCAAATCCACGAAATGGCTAGCGTCACTATAGCTGACGCTACTTGGGATCCAAGTAAACATATCAACGATATTCTCAAGGTTGTGGGGTTCTGCGGGAGTCTCATTATGATCGATGAAGAAGAGCACGTCGTTCGATTCGTCCACCACAGCGCTAGAAGCTTCTGTCAGGGAGTATTAGGAGGTTCCAACCATTGGAACTTCTGCTTCTCTGACGATGAGGCTCATCGTGAAATAGGAGAAACGGCTGTGACCTACTTGAGTTACGGAATCTTTGATACGCGATTGTCTACCCGCGTGATACCAAGGGTAGATGTGGGAGGAGTTACGAAACGAGTCTTACAGGCAACACTTGGAACACCAAATCCACTTGCGCGTTTGGCTCTTGATATCGTCAGACCAAAACAAAACAGCAATCGGGACATCGGACAATTTTTGGCACATGCCCATGAAGAGACTATCGCCAGAGATTTACAGAAGACTGATCATCCATTTTTGCCGTATGCGAAGAAGTTCTGGATGTTGCACACGAGAAACAGCGAGATTTCAGCGGTTCATGAGCTGTGGTTACGACTTTTCAATCAAGTCTCTGTGAATGATCTACAGCTCACACCACATCTCGTTGGTCCCTTGGACACTTTTGAGGCACCCTGCAAGCATCCCCTTGCGTCAGCATTTATTTGGGCGGTCAACTATTCTCATATCGCCGTTTTTGACCGCTTGATGGAATCGAGTAGCAGCGATTCATTTTCTACAAAGTTGCCCTGGGCACGTTTCCGTTTGTTCCGCAGTCTGCTTCGACATCTTCACCCAGAACATTCAGTCTCGAAATTACAACTTTTGAAACCCGGAATGGTAGATCGCTTGCTCCCACTAGCTACCATTCTGAGAGTAGACCGCGCTGTTGAATCGATGCTGCCTTCAGCAGATCCCAAGGAAGCTATTCGAGCATTCGAGGTGGCCGTTTCTTGTGGCAACTATAAATCGGCTGCGATAGTCTTAGCCAACCCAGCTTTCAGTCATCCAAAGAGACACTTTCTCCCGACTCAGCTGCTCGTCATCGCTGCATCTGCTCAAGATGTGCGAATGATATGTCTGGTGGCGAAAACTAGTGCTGCTAGGTCTCCAGACACTAATGCTAGAGCGCTTTGGAGCGTACTCCGCTCTGATATGCGACGAGCTCCTTTGCTGAGAGCGGTGTTCATCCTGATGGATGCTTGAGTCCGGCCAGGGAGATCCACGCTGAACCCCATGCATCCGGAAGATGTATTTGCTTCCGCTCAACTTCTAGCGACTAGTCCGGAAATCAACACCGAAATTGCATTGCAAGCGATTGCAAAGTTGCTCAATGTGAACTCGGATATTCCGGGGATTCATGAAGTAATTTTCCGTCAGGCATGCATGCTTGGGAGTTTTGAGCTTGCACACAACACCTGGCTCAGCTATTTTGACTACGAAGCTCCCATGCCCGGGCAGAGCAGCACATCTAGCTTTCCTTTCGGGGGAGACATAATGGCCCTGGGTCTGCAGAAAGTGTCAAGAAGCGCGGTCAAGCTCTTGGAATGGCTTTTATCACGAGGATTACACAAGAAGAACGAGCATTTGTATCGCAAAGTGATAATGGTTAGGGAATGGCAACTCAACGACTCTTTGCCGGCCAGCAGAGGTTTTAAAACGGATTTGCTGTCGTTCTGTACAGAACATGAGCTTCTCCATGCCTGTGTCCTTGTAGGGGACTTGATTGGGGTCGACTTTCTGCTCAAAATAGGCGCAGATATGAATACGCCACCACCCGGGCCAATGTTTGCACACGAAACCTGCATGCAGGCACTCATAACGCAAGATACGGACTTTTTTGAACGATTTTCTATTTCGGAGCTTTACATTCGAGACGGGTTCCCCTTGAGCTGTACTTCTGCCGGGTTTACAGCGTTGAAAGAGGTTGTGGGACGACTTCTGCTACCCAATAGCCCCTTTGTGTGGGACCCTGAGATGCAGCAGATATTCAGAGAGGAACTGAGACATGGAATTCGCCCCGAAGATTATAGCTGGTTCATCTGTATCTTTGCTGCCTCTTTAAGGAAGGCCGTGCGGGCATTTTTGACAAAACCAGCACCCTCGGACCATGCTATCGCTGAGTCGTATCTGCGTAATTGGTTAGAGCTCTTAAAGGAGACATGCCATTCAGATGTAAACCTGCCAATTTGCAACAAGCAAGAAGGCCTTTTTGCTATTCGAGAAGTTTTCGGTATCTTGGCTGATATGGATGAGGTCATGATGTTTTCTGGGACGCGATGGCAAACGCAAATGAGACTGTGGCAGTTTGTTGATCTTTTCGTCAACCAAAACGCTCCCAATTCTGCCAGAGACTTTTCCAGGGACAACTTACTGCAGGAATTGTCGGTTCAGATTTGCAAGAGATTATTATTGGATGACGTCTCTCAGCAAATCCCCCATGGCCCTTCACGCAAGACAGATCTAGTTCATGAAGCATTACGCTTAGCGGACATAAACGAAGACCTACCATGGATTCTAGGATATTTATTAATGGGAAGCATGGGTCTTAATGTTGGGGACTTTCGCGTTTACTCAGTAAACTTGGCATTCATGGTTCGTGGCACTGGCTCATCTGCGGAAACCCGCCAGGCATTGAAGCTTGTGGGATGGACGGATCTAGAAGTAATGGAATGGAGCCTGGAAAACCAAGCACTCAGCCCCGAGGAAAGCAGTCTTGAGGAAAACGGCGTTGAGGAAATCAATTTCGAAGAAAGAAAACTCTCACAACCTTCACAACTAAGCAGAATTCTTTTGTCGAAATTGCAACCCAGAGATCTTTAACGCAGCTACAAGTCTTGATTCGGACTGAACATGTCGCTTTTTTTTATGTTGTATCGAATGTCATCGAATCGGCTTTTGATAGGATTCTTACTACGTATAGATAGACCTTTTACCCTTAAACCAGAGTCTACATTTGGGGATTTCTACGTATTGTCATAAAGGGGTTTGTATAATTGGATACATATTTCGCTCGCTCGTAGAACTCCTATTGATCCTAGTTTTGGGTAGTGTAGCACTGGTAGGGATGAACTGATCTATATTTTGGGAGAAGATACAATGGATACAAGCAAAACAGAAACGTTGTCTCCCAGCCGAGGTAAATCAAGTAGTCTCCATCATAAAAACATTCTGTTCCGTCCGTGACAATCTTGTTGAAGGATGACTGCCCATGCGTAATTATTCAAACATTGTCGCTGCCTGCCTCAAAAATGCCAACCCAACTTCTTCTCCGTCTGTCCTGAGACTTTCGAAAGCTTGGTACACAAGCTTGGTGTTGAATCCAACCAGACGAACCCGATTCATACCCATTAGCGCCAAGTCGAAAGCTTTCTTGTTTATAGTTGCGCCGTGATTGATGAATAGTCTTATGATACGCACCGACTCGGTCCATCTTTCCTCGACCTCACGGTCAGTGCAAGCTTCCAATAGACACGTCACTATTGTGACCGTAAGAAGCTCTGCTCTGTCCAGACAGTAGTGCCGTCATCCTTGAACTGAAAGTTGACGTTTGATCCATTGTTCAGGAGGTATTCTACCATCGCTTGCTTTGGCGGCCGGGAGAAGTATGCGTCCAGAAGTAGCGGCCACCACAAGTGGCTTTCCTTCCAGACGACGTTTTCCGGCACCTGCTTGGTGACCTTGGAGAAGAATCGTTTTACCCAAGGCCGCACTCCCGTCCTGAACTGCGAGACGCTCTGGGACTCAGTCCGCCGAACGAGGCTTTTCAGTGGTGCCTTCTCCTGAACATATACCAGAACGTCTTTTCGAACCAAAAGTGACAAGAAACGTGGACCAAAGTGGTGTTCTAACCATGGACTCAGCTTTTCGGTTCCAGTGACCATGTTAAAGAAATCTTCGAGAAGGTCTTTGCTGAACATGGATTGTGTGGTCTCGTCTAGATGATCTAGTATTGCAACCATGCTGGATATGTTTTGCTTCTTAACTGCGGATGCAGCATCCAAGCAACGACTGACACATCTTGAAATTTTCCGAGCTAGGCCATTTTCAAGATCCCTCGCGAAGTCCGTTACGGGAATACTCGAGAGAAAAGCCGTTTTCAAAAACGCCAGGTTGGCCGCACACAGGCGTAGGTGACAGTCAAAGGTCCCAGAGG